GTTTCTTATGAACGCAATTTTGTTATTACTAAATGTAAACATTTGAAACTGCTTGCATAAGTATAAATAAAGTAATTCCATGCAGCTCAAAGAAGCGCAATAGTAAGAAACTGAAATATTGTTGACGTCGGTGTCGCTGTAGCATGAGATCGAAACCCCTCATGTTCGTCACTCGTGAAGGTGCCCCTATCGATTCGTCAGTTTCTTTTACATTCTGTCACGTTTTTGCAATAAAATTCGATTAAAACGTATAGTGCTTTTTGTTCTTTTTCTTGCGTTTCTGTATTTTCATCGAATTGACATATTGAAGAGAGTCATTTGTTGTATGATAGACGATCTGCATGGGGTCTACATCCGACCGATCCTCGGAGCAAAATAAAGAAAATATTTCACTTATTTGGTTTGATCCTAGCTTGAATGAAGAATCGACGGTAGCCGAGACGATAAGAACGTTGAGATTAATCAATGACTACGTGGTAATCCATACAAATATAGAAGAATGTGTTTCATACATGAAAATGGTAACTAATGAAAAGATTCTTTTGGTGGCCTCTGGTACGTCAGTACCTACCCTGCTGCCATTTGTGATTGATCTGAAGCAACTTGAAATCGTGTTTATACTCAACGATACATGCCAAAACTTGTTGTATCTAATGGAGACATATCCAAAAATAAACGGTATATTCGATGATCGCGAAGAGCTACATGCAAATATTCATAAACATATCCATCTATTAAATAAACAAATAGAAAAATTTAGTTTCTACGATCAAAAGCAAACTATTTCAATTGATTTATCTGAACGAACAGCCGCATTTCTCTGGTAAGAATTCGAACCAATGTTCTCATAGTAAAACATATCAATGATTATGTAGGATTCAATTAGTCCACGATGTTATTCTTCGCCTTCCTTCGAATCAACAAGCAAAGCAAGAAATGATCAACGCATGTCGCGATTATTATCAAGGAAATGACAGAGAATTGCAATCCATTGACGACTTTGAACAGAACTACACAAGCACAGATTGCATACGTTGGTATACCCGTGAGACATTCGTCTACAAAATGGTTAATAAAGCATTGCGTACAGAAGATATGGAACAATTACATACATTTCGTTTCTACATTAGTGATCTTTCGTCGACGCTGGCACGTGAATATGAAAAATTAGAAGAATTAGATGAATTAATCACAACTGTTTATCGTGGTAATCAATTAACAATCAACGAACTTGAACAGTTTCGATTGAGTGAAGGTCAGCTGATATCCATCAATGGTTACTTTTCCACGAGTCGTTTGCCACATGTAGCCTTACAGTTTACAAACACGGATATTCATCGTCAGGATACTGTTCCCACCCTATTTGAGATCGAATGTCAAACGTACGAAAGTAACTGTTCGGTTTTTGCTGATGTTTCAAAGCATAGTGATTTTCCATATGAGAAAGAAGTTCTATTCGATCTTGGCACTGTTTTTAAAGTCGAAAGAGTGAGAAAAGAAGATCAGATCTGGAAGATAAGTTTAAGGGCGACTGATGGTGGTCGAGAAATTGCTCGACAATACATTGAAGAGACGAGGAAAGAAATGGAGGGAGATAGTGTAACAATATTGTTTGGTAGATTGATGACTCGAATGGGTCGTTATAAAAGTGCAGAGATGTATTTTCAGCAGCTATTGATAAATTCGGAGTCCGAAAATCCTGCACATATTCACAATCAACTTGGATTAGTATATCAAGCCATGGCAGAATTTCCTCAGGCCATGAATCACTTCGATAGAGCATATAGATTGATGAAGAATTCATATCCACCATTTCTTCGAGATTCATCACATGTTTTGCGTAACATCAGCCAAGTTTTGAGGGAACAAGGACATTACAAAGAAGCGCTTGACTATAGTTTGGAAGCGAAGGAAGTGTTAGATAAATTAAGTGACACGTATGAATTAGACATGGGACATTGTCTGCATAGTATCGGATCGTGTTATCGAGATCAACGAGCATATACGAAAGCACTCGATTCATATGAAGAAGCTTTGAATATAAAACGTGCCTATTTGCCTGAGAATCACGTTTATATAGCTAAAACTTTAAATTCTCTCGGTCTTTTACATTACATGATGAAAAATTTTGAGAGAGCACTGAACTACTATGTTTCCTCTCTTGAAATGTATCAAGCTTGTTTGCCTGAGGACCATTCTGATATAGCGAATGTATATCATAATATTGCCGAATGGCATCAACAGAAACATCAGTATGATGGAGCCCTTCATCATTTCCAATTAGCATTGGCAATGAAAGAAAAATGTTATTCTTCAGATCATCCATCCATCGCCACGACGTTAAATAGCATCTCCTCTATTCTAGGCGCGAAGGGTGACAAGATGAAAGCACTGGACCTGTGTTTGAAAGCATTAGATATGCGAGAGCGACTATTACCCTACGATCACCCTGATATAATAATAAGTCTTAATAGTGTCGGACTTCGATATGAGGGAATCAAAGAAAATCACCTTGCTTTGAAATATTTTTTACAAGCATTGGAGAGATGCAGTATGTCTTTATCGGAAGATAACCCATTACGAAAAACTACTGAAAAACATATTTTTCGATTGAAACAAAAACTTTCATGAAAATATTTTACATTTTTTTTGGCAAATATATTCAATATTTTGAAGAGAGAGAACTGATCTAGTTGAAATCATGTCAAATGTTTGATTCTCTCGCTGAACGGCGTTTCTTCATTAGCTCATACATATAAAACAAGAAAACAGCAGAACACTTCTCTATAAAATCATGCTATGTCGAAGATAAAAGTATGATTTCATTCATAATGTAATACAACATAAAGCGAATTTAATGAGAAGTCAAGTATGTCTACATGAACTACACAAATTTAAAATTTATTGAGTTCCCTAACAGTGCTCCTCAGATCCTGAAATGTCGAAACATTACAAAACGTTTAAATATGCGGCGTCCAACCATAATTGCCAACTGGATGTTTCACCATCAACTAGTTGAATACTTTTGTCAGATACACGTTGTTCTGTCGCAGTCTCATCGCAAGGAGTTTTTCAAGCCTATTGATATCGCCAATTTTGACGACAGAGAGAGGTATAAATTTGAAGAACAATCAATTGACGACAAAAGCAATAGCAGCGACAGTGAAAAACGCAAATAACACAGCCGTTTTTCTCCATATGGGTGATATTTCATGATTATCAACATGGAAAACTAACTGGCGAATATTTTGGCTCACAGGGAAAGCAACGGGAATGGATCGCCCTGTGTCAATACAAGGCGTCATGAAATTCCATGGATATCTGTACACTATTTTCCATGCGCACGATAATAACATCGTACTTTCCTCAGTTAATCGTACCAGAATGCTTTTGAACAACAACTACATCAATTCAGTAAGTGCAAATACTCACAATGCAACTGGGACTGTTCCAACTTTGGCTTATACTAAAAGTGTCTACGATTATTCTACACTTCAAATAATAAATGCAATCCGTTATCGACTAAATTTCCACGATTCATTTACTAGACCAGTAATAGATACAGTGAAAACAACTTCTAAATGTTGAATAAATTCGAGTGGCTGGTCGCAATTTCATCATCAATTCGAGCGTGTCCAACAATTTTAGGAAGCATCGAATCAAGATCAGCCGATTCGTTTCCGCCAATTATAAAATTAAAATCTTTTTTTTTTCAATTCGCATACAATTTCGCTTTCATTCACTTGATCCAAAGATGTTATTTTTTGCACTAAAAGATGGGACACAAACTTAGCTCATGAAAGCGAAAACTTTCAAGACAAATGTTCTTGGATACGATACTATGGGATCTCGTGAGCAAATGTAGTCTGCTCTGGAAAGAATATTTCGAAATTTAAATCATAACTCGTAACTCTTATAAATGACGACATCGTTTATTCATAATGCCTACATGTTTCACTCTTCAAAGAAAACTTTCCGCAGCCTGTAAATGTTTTCTGTTCGCTTGATGATATTTTTTACAGATTATAAATGAAAGAACATGTTTCATCGACAGTATTGAATAGATATTGAAGACTTTTCCACATAACTAGATTATTATCTTATAACGACAAAATTAATGTAATTAGTGCATTATTTCATATCTCCTGATGTTTTGAAAATTCAGTTTTCTGTGTTATGAACTTTTTCCACCGGTCACGTTTGGTTATGAACCAATCGATAGCGCTCAACTTGCTCTGCAAGATGGCATATGTAGGATTTTCTAAGAGTTCGAAAATCCAATCGGAAAAATGCTGTTACTTAGTTTTCAGACAACTGAAATGTTTGCTCAATGAAACTTTAGTAAGATCCCCATTATATTTCCCAATTTTATAGAAACATTTTGAAATGCTCAACCATGAAACAAATCAGTGGCAGGTAGTCTCATTCAGATAGTGATGTCCCTAATAATGTTTCGTGCAGTCATATAAAATCATACATTAAAATGAAAGACATACTAGCAAGACTTCCTTATCAGTTATTTCTACTGTACTAAGACGTACGAGAGCTCACTTATATGGTTTCAGTACTTTGACTATACGAGTATCGTGTACTATCATTCGACTCGTTTTTCGAATCTTCCACAAGGCTACTCTAAACGAAGTAACTTGAGTGTGATTAGTTGAGTTTGGTGAGTGCTCAAGTGTCATAGTCTGAAGCTAAGTGACAACACTACAGAAAAGGTAATCATTTGCCTTCTTTGATGATTACAATAAAATATTATTAAAATATTACAGATCTTTTTTTACAAAATATAGATACAGCTTCACAGGGCGGGTAAAGGTACGTATATAACGTCTACATCCACACCATTCATCCTCGAGATGATTCGTATCGTTCGTTGGCCTTTTCATGTTTTATTTATGCCTTTTCTTGCACTTCCATAATCTCTGCTTCTTTTCAATTTATCTCAAATGAAAAAGCGAGTATAGATGTCAATGCATATTCCTTATTTAAACACGTTATAAACCGGGGACGACGTTTGGGCCAACGTATCCGACTTGCACTCCGGTCGCCTGAAGTTTCCACGTTGTTTTATCTAATGAAATTGAAACACTATTTATCATTGTCACTGGACCGTTCGTGCACGGAGAATCCGTTCCGGAAGCAGGACTTTGCTTATTCATGGGAGACTGAACTACATTTGTTCCATGAGTCATTGTACTAGTACATGCATTGGCTGGCCAAGGGTTAACGACAGTGTTGTTTGCAATAACTGAGCTTGAAAGTGTTATGGTTGTACCACAAGAGGCAAATGCAGCACCGAATGCACCAGCATGGTTATTGGCAACCGTTAAACCAGTAAATGAACCCGATACAGGGTTACTACAATATACTGCAGCACCAAGACCTGTATAAGCTTGATTCTCATAGAAATTCACACCAATCAGCGCAACAGACTTTTCGTCGGCTAAGAATAATCCACCGGCACCTCCTGCTGAATTATTTGCAATGATCGAATTGCGAATGGACGCACTGCCACCTTGAATGTATAATCCACCTGCTAATCCTTTGCTGTCTACAGGAATAAAATTACTGTCCACCAAAACGGAATCGAAATTATTTGTCTCATTTCCATTATAAGATACGCGAAAGAAGGCGCCTCCAAATTTGTTTCCTCGATTACTTGTAAATCGCGTTCCGCATATACTATTCATTCTCCCGCGTCCATCAAAAGAAATTGCACCTCCATTACCACCCAAACCCGGATTACCACCATTGCCCGTAGCTTGATTATTTTGAAAATGACTATTGTAGATATATAAACCACTACCAAGAATGCCTATTCCACCTCCATTCGAGCATTTATTGTCGCGAAAAACACTTCGAACAATGGTCGTATCACCACCACCTATTGTCCACAGGGCACCTCCGGCAACATCTTGACCTATCGTAGGACCAATGTTATTCTCAAAACTGGAGTCAATCACGACTGTTGTTCCACCATTTTTCTGTAAAATAGCACAACCACCATCAGCGTCCTTGCAATATCCATTGACAAATCTGAGTCGCTGAACAGTTAATGTTGGTGTAGCATACCGAAAATCTCCACGANTCATCATTTGTCACCAATATTATCCTCCATTAGTTTTAACTGGGACCCATGCTCTGGAACGGAGATCCAGTACCCTATAAAATCCTGGCTCCACCACTAGATGAAAATATTATTTTCAAACCAATTCCATCAGCAAAAAAGGCAAGATCAATTTTGTCATTAACAAAAGAACCTTACGTGCGAAGGGATTATTAATAGTGTTGTGAATAATATTTACACCGTGATCGTTTAAATAAAAATGATAATTGAATAATGCACAAATTCATAATACTAAATAATTCAATCAATACACTGCCCAATCAACTTAATCATGCTATTGAATTAGGATTAATTGTTTTAAAAAAATTCTTCTCGTAATGTCACGGTAGATGGAAAACAAGGCGTTAAGAAATTGTTTTTACTGCAACGTTGCAAATAGAAATCAGTAATATATTAGTTGATATTCAGAATAAGCTGCACCACACTGAACACCTCTCTTTGTCGTAACAAGAAAACGGAAACTTGAAAACCGTACAAAAGGACCAGAAAGTACTTGTATTGTTCCCCATTGTCCGTGGTTCGTACTCGAAAGAAGTCCCGACGAACCATTGTAAATCAGCGTCCAACTCGATCCAAGAGTGAAAGCAGATTCATTGGAATTACTGCCTTCAACTGTCACTGTCAATGGATCACGTGATGAATCATAGTTATTCGTACCTAAACGAAATCCAATAACAATCATTGAGCCAGATCGTGGAGTAAAATAGAAACCAGTATTTTGTCCACAGATTAATGACACCAAAGCGTAGTTACATACACCATGACTTGTAAAATCCGTGGTTAAATTACCATCGAATACATTTTTAGCCGGGTCACTAGGCCAATATGAGCCAGAATAATAACCCGAATATGCAGATAAACTATCACCACCTACTGTTGTGTTCCAAATTGCGTACACAGTCTCGTTCATCGGCGTCATAACTGTTAGATCTATGGAAAGTAGAGAGCGATTTTAAAGTTATTTACTGTTCGTCATCAGTTTTACTGACTTGTCAAACTTCGGTTGTTAAAACTGTAAACACATGTACTAGTATTCGTTGCCACCAGCTGTAATTGTCCTTGGTTTAGATTCGCAAAGAAGAGAGTGCATAGTTGAGTAGTTGACGAATACACTACTGTCGAACAAAGTATATAAGCTGAACACTGACAGAGACAAGAGTCGGTTGAATTGATGAAGGAAAGATTACTGAGCAAGTAACGTGAATCAAATGGGGAAAAGTATGCGTTTTGATATAAAGTTAAGGAAATTGTCACTGCTAACGGAATGTGACAAATAAGAATTATCCATGACAACATTTTGCAGTAAATAATAATATTCTGGTGTTCAAAAGAATTTGTCAAAAAAGTAAATAGTGAGCAAGATTCAAAATTCCATGGAATAATATATTCTTTACGTTTCTTTTGAAGCTATCTTGGTGTTCAATATAAATAATTGAAATAACGTCTAGTGCCCTTTTCTCTTCAATGTGCAAGCTGTTGCTTATGAACACAATTTTGTTATTAGTAAATGTAAACATTTGAAGCTGCTTGCATAAGTATAAATAAGTAATTCCATACAGCTAAAAGAAGCGCAATAGTAAGAAACTGAAATATTGTTGGCGTGGATGTTGCTGTAGCATGAGATCGAAACCCCTCATCCTCGTCACTCCTGAGGGTGCCCCTACCTATTCGTCGGTTTCTTTTACTTTCTGTCACGTTTTTGCAATAAAATTCGATTAAAACGCATAGTGATTTTTGTTATTTCTCTTTCGTTTCTGTGTTTCCACCGAATTGACATATTGACGAAAGTCATTTGTTATATGACAAACGATCTGCATGGCGTCTACATCCGACCGATCCTCAGAGCAAAATAAAGAAAATATTTCACTTATTTGGTTTGATCCTAGCTTGAATGAAGAATCAACGTTAGCCGATACGATAAAAACGTTAAGATCAATCAATGACTACGTGCTAATCCATACAAACGTAGAAGAATGCGTTTCATACATGAAAATGGTAACTAATGAAAAGATTCTTTTGGTGGCCTCTGGTACGTCAGTACCTACCCTGCTGCCGTTTGTGATTGATCTGAAACAACTTGAAATCGTGTTTATACTCAACGATACATGCCAAAACTTTTTATATCTAATGGAGACGTATCCAAAAATAAACGGTATATTCGATAATCCCGAAGAGTTACATGCAAATATTCATAAACATATTCATTTATTAAATAAACAAATGGAAAAATTTAGTTTCTACGATCAAAAGCAAACTATTTCAATCGATTTATCTGAACGAACAGCCGCATTTCTCTGGTAAGAATTCGAACCAATGTTCTCATAGTAAAACATATCATTGGTTATGTAGGATTCAATTAGTCCACGATGTTATTCTTCGTCTTCCCTCGAATCGACAAGCAAAGCAGGAAATGATCAACGCATGTCGCGATTATTATCAAGGAAATGACAGAGAATTGCAATCCATTGACGACTTTGAACAGAACTACACAAGCAAAGATTGCATACGTTGGTATACCCGTGAGACATTCGTCTACAAAATGGTTAATAAAGCATTGCGCACAGAAGATATCGAACAATTACATACATTTCGTTTCTACATTAGTGATCTTTCGTCGACGCTGGCACATGAATATGAAAAATTACAAGAATTAGATGAATTAATCACAATGGTTTATCGTGGTAGTCAGTTAACGATCGACGAACTTGAACAGTTTCGATTGAGTGAAGGTCAGCTGATATCCATCAATGGTTACTTTTCCACGAGTCGTTTACCACATGTTGCTTTACAGTTTACAAACACGGATATTCATCGTAAGGATACTGTTCCCACCCTATTTGAGATCGAATGTCAAACGTACGAAAGTAACTGCTCGGTTTTTGCTGATGTTTCAAAGCATAGTGATTTTCCATATGAGAAAGAAGTTTTATTCGATCTCGGCACTGTTTTTAAAGTCGAAAGAGTGAGAAAAGAAGATCAGATTTGGAGGATAAGTTTAAGGGCGACCGATGGTGGTCAAGAAATCGCTCGACAATACATTGAAGAGACGAGAAAAGAAATGGAGGGAGATAGTGTAACAATATTGTTTGGTAGATTGATGACTCGAATGGGTCGTTATAAAAGCGCAGAGACGTATTTCCAGCAGCTATTGATAGACTCGGAATCCGAAAATCCTGCACATATTCACAATCAACTTGGATTAGTGTATCAAGCCATGGCAGAATTTCCTCAGGCCATGAACCACTTCGATAGAGCATATAGATTGATGAAGAATTCATATCCACCATTTCTTCGAGATTCATCACATGTTTTGCGTAACATCAGTCAAGTCCTGAGGGAACAAGGACATTACAAAGAAGCACTTGACTATAGTTTGGAAGCAAAGGAAATGTTAGATAAATTAAGTGACACGTATGAATTAGACATGGGACATTGTCTGCATAGTATCGGATCGTGTTATCGAGATCAACGAGCATATACGGAAGCACTCGATTCATATGAAGAAGCTTTGAATATAAAACGTGCTTATTTGCCTGAGAATCACGTTTATATAGCTAAAACTTTAAATTCTCTCGGTCTTTTACATTACATGATGAAAAGTTTTGAGAAAGCATTGAACTACTATGTTTCCTCTCTTGAAATGTATCAAGCTTGTTTGCCTGGGGACCATTCTGATATAGCGAATGTCCTTCATAATATTGCCGAATGGCATCAACAGAAACATCAGTACGATGGAGCCCTTCATCATTTTCAATTAGCATTGGCAATGAAAGAAAAATGTTATTCTTCAGATCATCCGTCCATCGCCACGACGTTAAATAGCATCTCCTCTATTCTAGGCGCGAAGGGTGACAAGATGAAAGCACTGGACCTGTGTTTGAAAGCATTAGATATGCGAGAGCGACTATTACCCTACGATCACCCTGATATAATAATAAGTCTTAATAGTGTCGGACTTCGATATGAGGGAATCAAAGAAAATCACCTTGCTTTGAAATATTTTTCACAAGCATTGGAGAGATGCAGTATGTCTTTATCGGAAGATAATCCATTACGAAAAACTACTGAAAAACATATTTTTCGATTGAAGCAAAAACTTGCATAAAAATATTTTGCATTTTTTTTTGGCGAATATATTCAATATTTTGAAGAGAGAGAACTGATCTAGTTGAAATCATGTCAAATGTTTGATTCTCTCGCTCCGTAGCTCTGTCGCTGAACGGTGTTTCTCCATTAGCTCATATATGTAAAACCAGAAAACAGCAGAAACACTTCTCTAAAAAATTATGCTATGTCGAAGATAAAAGTATGCGTTCATTTATAATGTAATACAACATAAAGCGAATTTAACGAAAAGTCAAGTATGTCTATACATGAAATACACAAATTTTAAATTTATTGAGTTCCCTAACAGTGCTTCTCGGATCCTGAAATATCCAAACAATACAAAACATTTAAATATGCGGCGCCCAACCATAATTGCCAACTGGATGTTTCACTATCAGCTAGTTGAATACTTTTGTCAGATACACGTTGTTCTGTCGCAGTGCCATCGCAAGGAGTTTTTCCAGCCAATTGATATCGCCAATTTTGACGACAAAAGCAATAGCAGCGACAGTGAAAAACGTAAATAACACAGCCGTTTTTCTTCATATAGGTGATATTTCATGATTATCAACACAGAAAATGAACTGACAAATATTTTGGCTCACAAGGAAAGGATCGCCCTGTGTCAATACAAGGCGTCATGAAAATCCATGGATATCTGTACGCTATTTCTCATGCGTAAGTGCAAATACTCACAATGCAACTGGGACTGTTCCGACTTTGGCTTATATTAAAAGTATCTATAGTTATTCTACACTTCAAATAATAAATGCAATCCATTGTCGACTAAATTCCCACGAATCATTTACTAGAGCAGTAATAGATACAGTGAAAGCAACTCCTAAAAGTTGAATAAATTCGAGTGCCTCATCGTAATTTCGTCATCAATTCGAGCGTGTCCAACAATTTTATGAAGTATCGAATCAAGATCAGTCGATTCGTTCCCGCCAATTATAAAATTAAAATTATCTCTTTTCAATTCGCTTTCATTCACTTAATTCAAAGATGTTATTCGTTGCACTAAAAGATGGGACATAAACTTAGCTGATGAAGGCGAAAAATGTCAAGACAAATGTTATGTTCTTGGATACGATACTATGGAATCTCGTGAGCAAATGTATTCTGTTCTGGAAAGAATATTTCGAAATTTAAATCATGACTCTTATAAATGACGACATCGTTTATTCATAGTGCCTACGTTTTTCACTCTTCAAAGAATTTTTTCCCCAGCCAGTAAATGTTTTCTGTTCGCCTAATGATATTTTTTACAGATTATAAGTTAAAAGAGCATGTTTCATCGGCAGTATTGAATAAATATTGAAGACTTTTCCACATAAGTAGATTATTATCTTATAACGACAAAATTAATATAGCTAGCGTATTATTTCATATCTGCTGATGTTTTGAAAATTCAATTTTCTGTCTTATGAACTTTTTCCACCGGTCACACTTTGTTATAAGTCAATTGATAGCGCTCAACTTGCTCTGTAAGATGGCATATGTAGGATTTTCTAAGAGTTGGAAAATCCAATCGGAAAAATACCGTTACTTAGTTTTCAGGCAACTGAAATATTTACTCAATGAAACTTTAGTAATTAAAATCCCCATTATATTTCTCAATTTTATACAAACATTTTGAAATATTCAACCATGAAACAAATCAGCGGCAGGTACACTGAAAACAAAAGGTAGCCCACCAAGCCATTCCGGTTTAGTGATGGCTCACTAAACTATTTTAAGTTTGGCACCACCAAAATGGTTCTGTCGCGTATATAAAGAACATTTTTTAGGTTTTGAGGACCAAAAAGTTTTCGTGCTGTTATTGCCAAACCATTGAAAGGTTCAGCAGCGCGTATACTGAACTTTTTTGGTTTCGTATGTTTGGTACAAAACCTGCCGGAGTTCCGTAGAGCACATAAAGATTTCGAAACAGACTTACAAAACCATGTAGGGCTCCGTATTAAAGATACCGAGCCTTTACATACATCACTAGGGTGACTGAGGTTTCGCATTTCGAATGCCGAACATTTTCTCAATTCACGAAGCCATCAGCGGTTCCGTACCGGACCTCCAAAACCATTAATTCCTAAACGAATGCCTGAGAAGTTTCGCCCGATACCTCCCGAGCCATCGAGTTTGAGTAGTCAGTCTTTTGTTTTAGACTGATATATGGCTCTGTTGTGGCGTGTACTGTCCGGCTAATTATTCAAATGACTTGGCTACATGGAAGCCAATTAGATAGATAAGTATATACTTATTTCTTCTCATATTTTATTCTTCGCTGTTTAGGTTATGTTGGGCGGAATGCGTAAATGAAATGTAACTACTTGTTGTCGGTGAATACCTGTGTTTGTGCTTCAGAATTATTTCAGGTCGCCAGTGGTCTATTAGTGATGGAGAAGCCCAATCAAGCGGACGAGAGAAAGATAGGAATTTTCATTTTACATAGCTGTTCGAGTGAGTTTATGTTCAGCTGTGAGTAGTATAGGCAATTCTGTGAGCGGTGTAGGTAATGCGTTCTTGCGAGTGCGTAATCCTTTTCCATGAGAGTCTTTATCTGTCTGATCCTGCCTAGTACGATAAGACGCCAGCACAGTAGAATATTTCACCAGTTCTTCCTGTGAAAATCATATTTACACCACCAGATATCTGATCCTCGACGAGCTAGAAGGTTTATAAATAGATGAAATTGTTCTGAGTTGTATTCAAGGATGTCATATATGATATACACGAGAAACTGGAAAGTTATAAATGTTTCTAGGCGCTACTTGAGTAAAAGTAAGCGTGAGAACTGAATTGAAGCAGTTCGAAACATTTGTAACTTTCCAGTTTCTTGTGTATATCATATATGACATTCCTGAATAGAAATCAAAACAATTTCGTCTATTTATAAACCTTCTAGCTCGTCGAGGATCAGATGTCTGGTGGTGTAAATATGATTCTCACAGGAAGAACTGGTGAAATACTCTACTGCGCTGGCGTCTTATCGTATTGGGCAGGATCAGACAGATGAAGATTCTCATGGAAAAGGATTACGCACTCACCAAGGGCGTCAGTGGTGGGAAATTCTCCAGAGGTGTTGTATATGGAAACCCTCAGAAGAAACCTTTTGAAAATATTTTTGGGAAAGGTTTCGTACGAAACCTTTTTGTGAGTAAACCATGTGGGGTTTATCGATTGTGCTCGCCGACCGATTGCTTTTTTGGTTTGGTAAAACACTTTTTTTTTCAGTGTAGGGAATAGCATGATGTTTGAATAACTCCGTTATCCAGGGATTATACTTGACAGTACTAACAGGAAGAAAGAGGAGCGAGAGAGATGTGGACAAGACAGAAGCATAGAGAGAAGGAAAGAGAAGGAAGTGTAGACGCTAAGGACAAATTTCATTGCTATATGACACAGTTGACATCAGAATTTAGTTGAGTTTGGAATGCGCGAAAAAAACTATCTATTTCTGTCTATCTACAGTTTCCATATCCCCATGTCCCAGATCAAAATTGCGTCGATTGAAAAATAAAATCTTGCATTTTTTTCTAATTTTTCAATGTCCCGCATGTCCCGCTGCTCGAATAAATTTATTGAATTAAAGAAAATTTCTCAACTTTTTTCCTCTCTGTATAAATGTTCAGTGTCCCGTATATCGCCGCCCTGGAAAGAAAACAGAGTCAGCATAAGCTATCTAAATAAATCAAAATTTTCTTTACCATTTTCAATCTTTCATCGAAACATCAATATATGATCGATCCTTGATACTTTTCTTTACCATTTTATAGAATTCTCAACGACCTTTCGCAATTTCAAAATATTTTCGTACGAATTATAGATTTTATTTATTTCTCTTTCAAACGTAAAAAAATATAGATTTAGATATTATGTTGATGTTTATATATATTCCCGATCTCAACTAAATTCTTTAACCGACTGCGAGACAGATGTCCACTGAAAACGTAAGTTAAATTCTGTTCAAAAAGATATGGGAGAGTCTATAATTTTGGCATAACCTGTAGGTTTATGCATGAATTCATTTGTGAATGTATATGGGGGATTATTTGAATAAAATTTGAAATTTAACATATCCAATTGTGATTATGCCAGGAAGATAGATCGTAATAGGATTACCATGTTGTAAAATGAACGCTAAAAATATTGAAGTACTTTTTTTGACACATATTCATAGGAATCATACTTACAAGTTGCTGACGATTTTGATGTAGTCGTAGTGGTTGTTGTCGTCGTTGTTGTAGTTGAAGTCGTAGTTGTTGCTGTTGTTGCAGTTGTTGTTGTGGTAGTAGTTGCTGTTGTTGCAGTTGTTGTAGTTGAAGTCGTAGTTGTTGCTGTTGTTGCAGTTGTTGTTGTGGTAGTAGTTGCTGTTGTTGCAGTTGATGTAGTAGTAGTTGTTGTAGTTGAAGTCGTAGTTGTTGCTGTTGTTGCAGTTGTTGTCGTGGTAGTAGTTGCAGTTGTTGCTGTAGTAGTTGATACTGTTGTTGTAGCAGTTGTTGTTGTTGTTGTTGTCGCAGTTGTCGCTGTTGTTGCAGTTGTTGCTGTGGTAGTTGATACTGTTGTTGTAGCAGTTGTTGTTGTTGCAGTTGCTGATGTCGTTGTTGTTGTTGACGTAGTAGTACCAGCGCTGGTAGTACTCGTACTTGTGCTGGTAGTGACAGTAGTAGTTGTGGTTGAAGCTATGACAGTCAATCTATTGAATGTGACTTCTCCTGGTCCTGAAGCAATAATCGAGAAAGGTGCTGTTATATTTGGAGCATATGTAGTAACAACTAGCACATATGTAAGCATGTCTGGCAATTGATACGTCATTAAGAATTGTCCATTATCTGCCATGTCATCGTCATAGTAAAGTATATTGAGTGAAATGTTTGATGGATAAAAGCTGTTGTAATATAAATAACCAACTGTATCAACATCGCTATTGCTTTTAATGCTATAAAAGCCATAAGTGGATACAGTAATTCTGATGGCTTCATAATAAAACAGATTGGACTTGGTAAGTTGATTGTAGATAGGATTATTGTTATTTAATTCACTGTTGTACTTTGAAATGACTTTTTTCGGATCTATTTAATTATAAATCGAAGTATTGTGGACAAAATTTAAAAACAAAACTCACCGGTTACTGTGCTATTTGATGGTACTGCTGAATTACTACTTGTTCGAACAATATTCACTTTTGCTGGTCCAGATACAACGATTGTGTATGAACCAGTAGTAGATTGATCATATGTTGTAAAGACTAGGACGTAAGGTATACCATTTAGAAGAGGTATAGTCACCTTAAATTGCCCGTTATCACCACCATCATCATCATATGCGAATAAATTCGTATAGGGATATGTCGCATTAAAAGTGTAGTAATAAAAATAACCGTATGTATCAATATTACTTATACTCATAAACATATAATAACCAGATGTAGGAACAGTTATATAAAATGTTTCATAATAATGATATTTACCCGAGCTAAAATAAGGTGTATACTGTTGGGTATAGGTTGTCAGTAATGATGAAATTGTCGTATTGGTCATATATGAATTTGCTATAAAGGTATGAAAAATATTTAAATGGCTTAAAAGTTCGATTGGAATATATTATAGAATTTATTTACCGATAGTAGTCGTAGGAATAGGTGGTAATGTAACACCAGTTGAAGGACAACTATAAAATGATCTTACTTCTTGTATATCAATTGCACTTAAAGTGACACGTTGTCCAATAGATATATTTGCTTTAAGTGGTTCAATTGTGGGTAAACCATTAGCAGAAAAAGCATCTGATTCATAATGCATCACAGATCCATAATCGTACGGCGTATTTAAAGTATTGACAACTGTATTATTATATTTCACAAAATTATTTTCCATTCCTATTTGCGAAACGAAATGATATTCTGTGAAAAAGAGAAAGTGATTTCTTGCCAGAAATTATATTGGCATAATTTATTCTAACATAATCATCTCGATCAGGTCGCGATTGTTCATGATAGAAACCTAATTAAAACAATTAGATACAAATTCTTAATAAATAACCTTGCAAGATATTACCTAACACATGTAATAATTCGTGCATAATAATACCTTCGTAAACGCAGCCTGGATGTTGTAGTGTTACTGTACGAGTCATTACTACACCATAATTTTGTCCAACCTAAAGAACATTATATGAATGATATATCACACTATAATTTATTGTTCTTACATATGATGAACATCCATATCCATTTTCAATTGTGATATAATAAACATCAGATGAAGTTTTCGGGCGAAACTGAATGCATGCCGCATTATTGATTGCAACTAATCGTTCCATTTTTCGCATAGTCTGTACAATAAATGCTTCTTTAACGATACCTACAATGAAACATTAGTGAATTAGTTATAATTAACATGTATGTGTTCTTTACCAAAGCCTGGTATAATTTCGTACGGTACAATTCCATCTGGCCATTTTACTGACGTACCAATACGTGCTACTCCACGCTAAATTTTTAACATGAGAAAAGAATACGAATATATTAACTATTTACGCCTGTTGGTCCCGATGAAACAGGAAAGCGCATATCACCTTCCACCAGAAGTGCTGAAAATTAGAAATGTCGTGTTATATGTCGAAGAATAATGACAGCACAGGTTATTAATGAGAATACGTACGATTTTCATATGGTTTGTTTCGCGCACCTGGCACGTCCTTAAGAAAAGTTCGTTTCATTTTTGAATAAGCATAATAAATAACGCATATATTTACTTTTAATGTCGGTAATGCATCGATCTGGTATATCATCAGAAAAATATTAACGTAATATAAAAATCTGGCGATTTTCATTTTATGAAAATTCAATAACAAATATTAGGTGCTATATAAAGATCTATAAATTATATTTCAGTGTATTTTTTCAAGAAATAGTGTCATAAAAAACGCTTTTGAAAGACTTGTGACATAAGATATTGTCTACTCATTTCCATGTAATTATCACTTTTTCTTTTATTTTTCTATGAAAATAATTTTCTCCGTCATATTTTATCCTCTCTTCAGACTAAAACCAACGCTGTCAGACGTCTATCTTGGCTTTTTTACATCATTCTTTTCGCTTCTTTCTTATTAAAGTCTGTCTAAAACTTTTCTGCTCGGCATCATTCTTCCTCATTTGTCATACTTTGTAAGATGAAATCTTAAAAATTATCCGATGGATTTGTGATTACATTATCCGTCGTGCAGAAAATAAAATGATAGAGACGACATGGATGCTTTATTTTATTCGAGCAAAAGATATGGAAATAGTTGATTCATTCGACAGGCATGTCTTATATTTATCGGCTATACTATGGTGATAGAACGTCGATTTATATAATTTTGAGTAGAGACTGTTTCTCATTAACGTTCATTTTGTCAATAATTAAGAAGCAATATTCATCATTTTTTTCTTCATTCTTTTTGCGATGTTTAACTGAAAGACGGAAAAGTCATACAGCCGTTATCAGAGGAAATATAACAAAAAAGATATCTATACGCGATTCAAAAACACTAGGCTACAAAAAATCTTGTGTCTATTCATAAATAATCATATTTTGACATTACCATACCAAACAGCATGTAAAATAAGGTCCAATATACATAAAATACCATTTTCATTCAATGAAGTTAGATATACTATGATTGGATACAGACGAAAAATATGTATAATATCTATTGAAATATATGATTTCTACTTACTAAAGATATACGAATGAAAAATATAAACAGTATTTTATTCCCTCTACTGGAAGTAAGGTACACACAGAATTTGATTTAAAGTTCGTTCGTTTGTCCGTTCATCTGATTTACATTGATAGAGTTACAATCGGCGCTGTTTATAAATGAAGTTTGACCGAAAGGTAATCGAGTTCGAGAACCTCGAATCTGATGTTATTTTTTCCAGAAAAACTTTCTGTCTCTTTTTTTTTGCGATAAAGGATCAATTTTTTTAGACGATAGTGTTCTAAGCGGCAATATGTAGAACTAAATCTAATAGCTGACTGACGTCCGATTGCTGGATCTCCATAGTCATAAGTATATCAATGAGATCACACGCTTATATAAACAGCTATACTATACGAATATCATCTGATGCCGGTCATTCAAAATAATGTTTCGTTTGCCAAGTGTTGTCTTCGAGAGTCACGGTAGCACAAAGATGGTGACTTTTTAGGAAAGAATAGAAGAAAATGAATGAATTAGTTTCGAAAGTGCTTCTATACTAGATGTTTCTTTTGGAAATTGATTGACAGGCGAGATTTATAAGAGTGTCACGTAGCGTCCATAATTTTTCGAAGGTATATATATGACGTCTTTTCGAGCTTCGAGAAAAACTATGTAGACCACCAACTTATTCAACTAAAAACAACAGTAAAAAATACACTGTACGTCACGAAATTGTGAAAAATTTCGGTAACTTTGCTAGAGACCGACAAACGACTAGGCGTTAATTTCAGAAGATTTCAGAAAGCGACATTGGTCTACGTAAAACATTCTTACAAATTATGAAATGATCAGATCGTTCAACTGAAATAATTTTTTTCTCTCTTTGAACGAATATCAACGCTGTAATACTATCCTTTCAGTAGAGGGTTTAGCGGCTACTAGGTCGCGTTTCTTGGTTTTAGATAAAACAAATATTGTCATCTGGCTAAGGGATAGTAATCTAAGGGTTAGTATAGATATTGATACCTAGATTAAAAAATCCGATCCAACTCTCTGAAACGGAATTTCATTGGAATTCGACCGGCAGATGTGTATTCAGTTTCGACCAAGTAAAGAAGTTGTTCAGGAATGTTTAATAAATTCATTTTTTAATTCGAAGAAATAAACTATTCAATTCAATAGATCCAACAGAATACAAAATAGAATAATTTTTTCAATATTATATTTCTTGGTGATTCCTTAACATCAATTGTAAATAAATGGTCAATACGCCGTCAAGTGATGTATCAATGCACTTCAAGTTCGCATATTATACCCATACGTCACTTTTTACACAATCTTATGTCTTTTTCTTCATTTCAGTACTACTTAAGCTCGACAAGACATCAAAACTAATATGATCTCACTGTTATATTAATAAAATTCAATGAGATCTGAAAATTTTAATAGTGAAAGACATAATTGATTGCATAGAAAACTGATATAAATGATCCTAATGTTCAGGTATACATGAATCGTGAATATGATAAAAATTTAATATCTCCCTGTAGAGTCGCCAAGGGCAGCTAATATTTTAACCTTGTTATATTAGCAGCGAGAGCTTTCTTTTGATGTAAAATATCTAGTCTTTTCGCTCAACTATACACACGCCTTCATTGTGGGTGAAGATCAGTCAGATCTGAAGACAAGCTGGAGGAAGAGATCCACGGTTGTTGGCTCGATTGTAGTGAGAGTGCTATGAAAAAGACTGCTTTTGTTTGTGTGTTTGTCTTAAGATTAAACGTGAACTATTTGAAGGTGTGATTGGTTCATCATTGTGAGATCGCGGCGAAAATATGGATTCTTGGTAGTAAAATATTAAGTTTGGTGAGTGCACAAGTGCCATAGTCTGAACCTAAGTGACAACACTATAGAAAAGGTGATTATTTGCCTTCTTCGATGATTGCAATAAAATACTATTAAAATACCATAGATCTCTTTTTAAAAAATACAGATGCAGTTTGGCAGGGCGTGTAAAGGTACGAATATAACGTCCACATTCACACCATTCATCCTCGAGATGATTCGTATCGTCTGTTGGCCTTTTCATATTTTATTTATGCTTTTTCTTGCACTTCCATAATCTCTACTTCTTTTCAGTTGTTTTCAAATTAGAAAGAAGGTATAGATGTCCATGCATATTCCTCATTTAAATACGTTATAAACCGGGGACGATGTTCGGGCCAACGTATCCGACTTGCGCTCCGGTCGCCTGAATTTTCCACGTTGTTTTATCTAATGAGATTGAAACACTGTTTGTCATTGTCACTGGACCATTCGTGCATGGAGAATCCGTTCCGGAGGCAGGACTTTGTTTATTCATGGGAGATTGAACTACATTTGTCCCATGAGTCATCGTACTAGTACATGCATTGGCTGGCCAAGGGTTACCAACAGTGTTGTTTGCAATAACTGAGCTTGAAAGTGTTACGGTCGTACCGCAAGAGGCAAATGCAGCACCGAATGCACCAGCATAGTTATTGGCAACCGTTAAACCAGTAAATGAACCCGATACAGGGTTACTACAATATACCGCGGCACCAAGACCTGTATAAGCTTGATTCTCGTAGAAATTCACACCAATCAGCGTGACAGACTTTTCGTCGGCTAAGAATAATCCACCGGCACCTCCTGCTGAATTATTTGCAATGATTGAATTGCGAATGGACGCACTGCCACCTTGAATGTATAACCCACCTGCTAATCCGTTGCTGTCTATAGGAATAACATTGCTATCCACCAAAACGGAATCGAAATTATTTGTCTCATTTCCATTGTAAGATACGCGAAAGAAGGCGCCTCCAAATTTGTTTCCTTGGTTACTTGTAAATCGCGTTCCACATATGCTATTGATTCTCCCGCGTCCATCAAAAGAAATTGCACCTCCATTACCGCCCAAACCTGGATTACCACCATTGCCCGTAGCTTGATTATTTTGAAAATGACTATTGTAGATATATAATCCACTACCAAGAATGCCTATTCCACCTCCATTCGAGCATTTATTGTCGCGAAAAACACTTCGAACAATGGTCGTATCACCTCCACCTATTGTCCACAGAGCACCACCGGCAACATCTTGACCTATCGTAGGACCAATGTTATTCTCAAAACTGGAGTCAATCACGATTGTTGTTCCACCATTTTTCTGTAAAATAGCACAACCACCATCAGCGTCCTTGCAATATCCATTGACAAATCTGAGTCGCTGAACAGTTAATGTTGGTGTAGCATACCGAAAATCTCCACGANTGGTCGTATCACCACCACCTATTGTCCACAGGGCACCTCCGGCAACATCTTGACCTATCGTAGGACCAATGTTATTCTCAAAACTGGAGTCAATCACGATTGTTGTTCCACCATTTTTCTGTAAAATAGCACAACCACCATCAGCGTCCTTGCAATATCCATTGACAAATCTGAGTCGCTGAACAGTTAATGTTGGTGTAGCATACCGAAAATCTCCACGATCAAATTTCATGATGCGAGTAATACCCAAACCATTCAATGTAACTAAACCTGCTCCGTCAATAACCGTATCATTCGTTTTAGATATCTGCAGCTCGTTATTGATTGGAATACTAATCGGTTGTCCTCCACAATTAAATACAATGATACCACCTTTGAGGAGTGCAGCTGCTAGCGCTGTTTGATGACAGGAGCTAGGAGTACCATTTCCAACGACTGTGGCTGGTGATTTAGTAGATTGTAAATTCAGAGGAGAATTGCAGATGTTTTTAGGCAATGGCCAAAAACTAGATGCACCAGATGAGACAGTCGACCAGAATATTAGCAAAGTGATCGTTGACGTTCGCATCATATCTTCTAAAGCGAGAACAGTTATGACACACAATTATTGTCACTATCCATTAAGTTTTTTTTTATCAGAATTTATACTCTCCAAGAAATCATTTTATATTTCGCATGATAGAGGCTTACTTTTTGATGAAAAGTTAATACCTTTTGAATTCACAGATGCAACCGATGTGGGCGCAGTCAATTATACTTTTTTCTGTCTTATATTCATGACAATGTCAATGAAAGAGACATGTCCATACTCTCACTCATGTTTTATTGATTGAAACTTGTATACACAGTTTTAGAAAAACGATACCCGAAAGTACTTATACTTTTTTTAGTTTATGTAATTAATGATGCTGTATTCCATGCTATTGATTTGATCTGAAATATAAAAATGGTAATGTTTATGATACACAGAAGATGGTGAAGGTCATCAGAGTAGATAAAATAAGTTACGTGCATCGAAATGAAAAATATAATTGAGTTATTGTGCTTAACCGAATATCTTCGATAGATAGAGAAGTAATCTGTTCAGAGCGAACTTTTTCGTGAGTATCTTTCACAGGCTTATCCGGAGATGTGTCATCACTTTTTATACGACACCCATCTTTCATACTTACCAAAATTGATCCTACAATATAAGAACAGAATATTAATTATTGAAAAAGTTCTGTCGGTTTACAATGTCATGCAGGAGAACGAGAAACAATACTCGATGAACGTGATTTTCGAATAGAATTCATCCTTACGCAAACATTCGGTGATAAGTGGAATAGCTTCACGATATAAACAGGAATGTAGAAAACAAAGTTTCTCAGCATATGGATCTGAATAAGAATCGTGTATCAGACACTAATATCGTTGGAATATTCATCAGAAATTGTGAATATGAGAATAACATGAAACAGACATGTTTTCAAGACATTTTACAGTGACTAAAATATTCGAGAGTGTCCTTATCTTCAAGATGATTATAAACGGTAGCTCCTGAATCAATATTCTATGGAAGGATATCACTTTTGCACCGGATACCACTATTGAAATTCGTTGACACAAAAGTGAAGAAGTATTCTTTCCTAGTAGTTGTTCAAGCAGTCAAAGATTATTAGATTTTCCCATTAGTACTCTTCTTGACAATATACTATGTGACTTGTTCATTTCTCTTAAAGTCAAAGTTAAATGGGTCGTGCCCAACAGGTATGCTTCTCATAAATAAGAATCGTTGTGATTTATTTATTCGATCGTATGTTCATTTTTTCAGGAAAACGCCAAACAATTAATTTGATGATATCAGTTCTAACTAAATATACTGTGAGCAAGTTTCTCCGAATATTGAACAATTTCAAGAAAGATTAAGCTAAAGATATTTTGCGGCGAAAAACTCTCGTGATTTATATTTTGATATGTAAAAAATTATCATGATTTTCTTTCATCGTTGACCTAATCCGTGTTCGCGTCATAAGTTGCCTCTTGAAGATTAGATGATTTGTTACCTGTTCTTATGTGCATCAATCAGAAATCCAATTCTAGACATTGATTAGCTACATTACGCTTATTGTAGCATATTATGCGCAAAAATATCTGTAGATATTATCGAGTCATCGTCAACTGGGTATAAAATTTCTATGTATATGCAAGATATGCGACTGGTGATTATGCATCTTATATAATCTACTATGTATCACAGATGACTTCGAAAACAAGTACTCTGTGTCTCTTAGAGTTGTTTGAAACATTTCTAGTGTGATGTTTTTCTGTCAAATTAATCGAGACTACATTCAGTCTGCTATTTCGTTCCACATTATTGAGGAAAATCTTTTTTAGACAGGATTTGCATTGCTGAGAAGAGTACTCTCCAAATAACAACATTTTACAGATATTTTGCGAAGAGAATGTTACCAGTAGAATTATATTCCTGCCGTGTACTTTTGAAAAATTAGCAAAAGCTCATGGAAGTAAAGTTGTAATAAACAACAGGTCAAAAGTCATTAAGATAATTAAATTTACTGCTTCTCAGTAGTACCTAAAAAGATCATTTTTGCAATGCATTGATAATAAGAAATGTGTGGAGCATCAAGCTCTCAGCAACCTGCGAGTACAATCAAGAATACGACGAACCTTGTGATGGATATTTGTGTTTTATTGTGTGGATCGGTGGCAGTTCTTGCGCTGCTAGGCATACTCTGTTTAGTTATTCTTCATCGACGGCAAATTCAAAATCACACATCGATTCTTCTCACCTGTAACACACACGTCGCAATTGTATTTACCAATTTTATGATGCCTAGTACCTATGCTTACAATTTGTATGAAAATGCTTAATTTGTTGACGATTGGCGGTGCTATACACGTGCATATCTTTTTCACGCATCATTTGCAATATCTTACCATTCTTATATTATATAAACAAGTTTTCGTTTTCGCCGCATTGTTCTACATAGATACAAAAAACTACAGACGTTTCGGGTCATATTTTGGATTGTTTTAATTTAATGGCTAGTGAATTTTCTTTACATGAAAAGTCTTCGACTTGAAAACCACCTTCGACACTTTTTTGAGCATTATTGTTGTCGAATACCATATACAAATACAAAGGCATTATGACTAGTTTGACCTACTATGCATCGATACTAATAATTGGTGTGATTTACTTCTATATTTTTTACAATGATTAACAATTTTATTTTCGCTTGCAATTCTGTCAATTTTAGCAATTGCCGTAACACTGGACTTATTCATATTGTTGAAAAGTCCATCGGCATATAGGATCAACGTATTCAACCGGTAGTACATGTGTCTAGGTATGCATGGTACGCATAATCAGTTTCGTGACGTTTGAATATACATGTATGACTTTCTGAGGAATTCCATCTTATTAATTTTTTTGTTCCTTCATGAGCTAAAAATATAAAATCATTTTGAAATACATGGTGATGTATGAGTGAGTAAGAAAGTAAACATCTCACACACATGTTTTCTTTCATCTACAAAAGTTCTCTATCAGATGACGTTACTACAAGTGAAATTTCCATAGAGGAGATACGAACGTATTACTAATTTTTTATCAGATGCTTGTGAAAACTGAGAAATATGAAAAAAGAACTCTTTCATTGCATCAGATTTCTTATTGTTTGTCTATCTAGATTGATAAACATTCTGTAGTATATAAACGATTACAGGTAGATGTAAGAAAGTATTACTGCAAAAATGTCATCTTTCCAAAGTTCTCAAACAAATGGTAACAATTATAATGATCTTCTCTTGATATGGTGCGATCCGGGTGTGGACAGCGAAGAGAACAAACAGGCACGAGAGACTTTTACTAAGATCTACGATCGATTTCAGACGTTTCAAACCGTAGTTGAATGTGAAAATGCTATTCGACAACGTCCTACTACTGACAGAATCGATCTTATCACTACCGGAGGATTTGCCCAAGATATGATGCCTCGTATACACGGGTTAGCACAACTTTCGACAGTTTATATTTTTTGTATTAACGAAAAGAAATACACCAAATGGGCAGAATCATTTAATAAAGTAGGACAGTGCAGTTTCAGTCGTTATCAATGGCACATCTTCTTTCAGGTCAAAGCGATCATCGTCAACAGCACTAAACTCATCTCCACAATTCAATATGATTACGAACAACGAAGTAATGTTGTCGATAAACCTCGTCTACTTTTGATAAAAATCAGCATAAATAGTATCGGACAACACATGTCAGAACGAATTCGCACTAAAAATAGCTCGAGTTGCTTTTCAGCCATATGATATTCTTTCAACTATCGCGTAATACGGGAGACAAACATTCTGAAAGTATACACTAGCTTAGAATTACGAAACTATGGGGAGATCATCTATCGTATGAGAATGCGACACAAAACTTATCGTTCAGATCGATCAGCAGAAAAATATTCTTCAAAAGTTGTAACAGCAACTTCACAGTTTTATCAATGTGTTTATTTTAATAGAGAATCAGACGACACCTACAACAGCAGTTCATTACACTCTTGACTATTTTATTAATGCGGGTGAACGTCAATATGCTGATAATACGATCGATGATATTGCGAAGAAACTCGTTGGCGAGTTTAAAAGCAGTCCGAATCGTGATTTCAATGCCCTCATTTCGGAAACTGTGCAGCCACTGATGTATTTATTGAAGCGTGAACAAAATCTAGCAGATTTTTCTAACATATTAAAGAGCTTACTCATAAAAGAAAGGAACATTCCTTGCATTAACCTGCGTCAACTAGTCGACAATATCCTTGTTCACTCGGATAAACTTTTACGTCGACGTTTAATAACGCTTATTAGCAAACGTAACCCTGTTCCATTGATTCAACCTTGTCGCGATTCTATGAACAATGAATATCGTTCAATATCCGATATTATTCACGTGTGGGACTACCGCCTACCTGTGCTTCTCTCTTTCGGCATTGGCAAATGTCGAGGGAAAACGTTATTACTGAACACTATTTTTCACAGTAACTTTGAACCGTCCGTGAAAGATGATTATTTTGTTAACACCATTGATGTTGATTTTGGTTATCAATTTAGTGAACGGCGTCCTATTAATGTCGCAGATAGTCATGGCGAAATTTCTGTCAAAATACTCACTGAAACATCAATGTTATTTAACGGTTTTCTCATTCATATTGAATCAAAATATCTATGTGCTAATTCATCTAATGTACTTCAATACCTTAAATTGCTCTCTCCGCAAAGCTACATTATCTTACTCATTCGTGATGTTGAAGATGAGGATGATGCAGCACTAAGAACGACTGTCGCAAATGTCACTTCGTTTTGTTCGAATAGTTGCGTTCATTATTTACCAAACGTTATCGACAAGGAAAATATTGAAAACAAAACTAAAATAGATGAAGTACGTGAAAATATTTTTCACGACGCCCATCGACACCAATGCTGTAGCGAAGAAATACTTCAAAAACATCTTATAAACTTGCTAGACGATGCACAACGACAAAATCTTCTACAAGAAACAGCTTTCATCAATTCGGTTCGCCCGAATCTCATAGATGGTAAAAAAGAGAATTATCCTGTGTACGCTTCTTTTACAACTCTTTGTGAGAAGCGGGCAGAAGCATTTAAGATAGATCCGTATGGAAAAATTTTTGAAGATGAACAATTGCAGCGACTTAACCTTGAATTGTTTCGTGCTGATGCTGACTTTAAAGAGAAATTGAAGAAAGATTCTCGAACCTACGGCGCCGGTTTCAAAACATTTTTCAATCTGCTTCGAAATGAAGAATCCAGATTGATCAACTTGGATGTATTATCGATAGAATTAAAGAAACAGCGAGCGACAAAAGAAACAAATGAAGAACGATTACCATTCTACGAACAACTCTCGCTTGAAATTCACTGGCGTAATGCGATGGTTTGTTCAGTTGGTTTATCCGACGCTGATCAACACATACTCGTTCAAGCTTATCGAGATTATCTTGCAGCAGGAAATTCATTTGAAATAGTCGATGGCGATAATTTCGAAATGCAAACTAATTTCCTTACAAAAGTCATGCACTTATTTCCGAACAAGAAATTCTTCGTCATCAGCATAGTTGGTCAACAAAATAGTGGTAAAAGTACATTGCTGAATTTCCTATTTGGCACTTTGTTCGAAACACATTCTCGTAGATGCACCAAAGGTGATTATTGTCTTTGACTTTTGTCTCTGTCTGAAAAATGATCTCATTTCAGGTGTTTATGGAACATTGGTGAACGTTCAAAACATAACTAGCAAGAGTAAACTCATTCCACTTGATTATGATTACATTCTTCTTGTCGACACGGAAGGCATACTATCCATTCAGAAGAAAGATACACAATATGATAGAAAAATTATTCTTTTCTGCTTGGCTGTATCTCATTTGATGATTGTTAATGTGGACGGAGAAGTCAATGAAGTGGTGAAAGACTTTTTTATCAGTTGTACACAGGCACTGAAATATCTCGGCGAGACACGAGTTATACAACCCACCGTGCGTTTTGTTTTCAACAGACGCACTGTTACAGATAAGACGTATTGTGAAGATCTTTTTCAACGTGTTCATGATCCACTGAACAAAAATAACTTGGGAAATATAATCGATCTTCAACGAGAGAATTTTCATGTTTTACCAACGGCATTCAATCGACATCCAACAGAAATTTTAAATGGCAGATGCAGTATATTATCTGCAGATATCAAATTTGTTACACATGCTCAAAAGTTAACCGAAATGATTATTCTTAGTTCACTTGATATTATCCAACGAACTGGCGATTACTTCTGTAAACCCACAAATTGGATCGGATTTGCAGATAGAGTACTGCAAACGATTAAAAAACATCCTGATCTAACCCGTTTTCAGGACGCTTTTGAGCGCAGCCAGTACAATACAATTCGCGAATGTATTCGAAAAGATTTTGAGGAACATTTAACTGCAGTATTGAGTCGCCAACTAATCTGGAAGAATATACGTAACAATTTTGCTGATATCAAAGGTTGTTTCAACAATGCATACAAAAAACTGCTTGACACTCTCCAAGAAAAACTTAAAGATCACTGTAACCATCACCAAGCAAGTGAAGCTGTGCTCAAGTGTTCGTCGGAATTTATGCGTGCACAGTTGAGCAATATATTTTCGTCGTGGGAAATCTCAGCTATAATGGCTTCTAAGCGGCACAAAATCGACGAAATATTCGGTAGCATTGACACGAAGCTTCATAAAAAAGCCATCAGTATCACTCATAAAAACTGTCTCATGGATAGAGAATCAGCAAAGAAGATGTTCGACGAAGAGCTGCAAGATATATTTAATGAAATCCAAAAACAATTCATCCCCCGAAATGTATGGGAGCAGTCAATTGACATAATTTTTCATCTATTGAATACATTTAGTGAAGATGATTTACCATCAGAAGCTAATGTGCTTATCTACTTAGATTTTCTCAATGAATTAGATAACACATCAGACAAACCCATCTCGATGAACAGCTGTTTAGCGAAAATTAAAGACAAATTCATATCCGTCACTTCCGATTCAAATCCATTGGCAGAACATCGAATCCACGAATCTCCCACAATCCTCCTTGCTGATGTTCAACGATCTTACACATTCTTGGACAATGGTGCATTGGAGAGAATATTCATGGATACTCACTCCGATGGGAAAATGAAGAGACAAGCATTTCAACAAGGAACACGTAAGTTGTATTCGAAACTATTTGATGAGAATTGGAAAACAATTATTCAAATACCGAAGATTCTTAACACTTTATTTGTCGATCTACAACAGATTTTCTCGTCAACAAATAAGAATGAGTCTTGGACTGAAATACACCTTGCCAAAAAAGTTCTAGAAAAGGTGAACGATGTTATACAAAAGTGCAACAAAGAATTGAACACATTCAACTTTTGTTTATCGAAAGAATTTCGTAGCGCATTGTACACTTATGCTGTCATTGGAACAACTCTGTATTACTATAACGAACAAAAGACCCATATTATCGATATTCTCAAACAAGCACATGCAAATAGAGAGAAATCGATCGAACGTTTTCTTCCTTGGGTGGTTCTGATGGACAATGATGATCAAAGAGCAGCCGAGAATTGTACTAATGGTCTTTTACAAGTTTTGCGTCAGTCGATGGAATCAGAATTAAAAGAAACGATCGAGAAGCATATTCATAACAATATGGCTATATTAAGTCGACATTCGATCATTAAGGAACTGGATCATGACGTATACGATGCTCCTGATGATTGGCTTCTACGATATGTTCTTGATCTTCCTGAGCTGATAACTGAACGACTGGATGAAAAATGGATGATACTTAAACAAGTTTCGGATACAGAACTTAGTACACTCCTGAATCCAATCTTAGCGACAATAGATGACTTTTTTCAATTAATCGAAGCTGTAAATAGCAATTTGCAAAGACAAGGCGCCCATTGTCTTAATTTCGTCGACGATTTATTTAAACTAAAAGATGAACAAATGAATACATACGCCAATGACAAGGAGTTTTGTATGGCCAAACTGTTTTATTACTACCTTATCGATGAACCTTTCCCAACAGAAATCTATACTAGAAATGATTCAATCTATATTGTCGATCCCAAATGGCGCACGATTGCCGGTACTTTTCCAAAACCAAGTGCAGAAATAAAACAAATTTTTCTCTTACTTCGAGATGTATTCGAAACATCGAGAATTCGCTATCTTGGAAATTTTCTTGAACATATACTCAAGCAACAAAATGAAACAAAACACGCCATACAGCACCAGCTAAGCTCTTATATTGAAGCACAATATTCACTTTTCAAAGAGCAAGTATACGAGCGAGTTCGAAGTTGCCAAGGGCGATGCCCTTGCTGCCAACGTGTTTGTGACTTTGACCATTACTCTATAGACATTACTTCGCCAATCGGACAAGGAGATAACAAACATCGCTGCCAGTCCGGCCATCAAATTCGAGCTATGGGTGGTATTTACTATGAAACTACTTACGAAGCTTCCGTATCACGATGTGAATTCATCCAAGATGATGGTCGAGTAATCATCAACGGTAACCGTCCACAAACATGGAAGGATTTTAAGAGTGCGAATAGTACTTGGAATTATGATGACGATCTCGAAGTTTGTAAAGCATTGGAAACCCCTCATGGATATATCTGGGAGAGAATCGGTAAACAATTATGTCAACATTTTGCTAACGGCATGAAATTTGTCAAAGAGAATCGTTTGTTAGCGAATCATTATATCTTTTTGCTTGATCACTCAGGTTCAATGAATGAAAAACAGAGTGATGATAACAACCGGACTTTTTGGCAGATTTTGACTGGTACAAATAACAATTCTAATCAAAAAGTTCTCAGTCCATGGGAGCATTTGGGTCAAGCTGTCCGAGATTTTATTAATATTCGTATTCATCAAGCGTCTTTGAATGATCAAATTACGATAATTCTCTTCGCTAATCGAGCAGAAAGAATTTTCAATCGAGAAAAACTAACCAACATTGATGTCGATAGAATCAACACACCAATGAACNGGCAGATTTTGACTGGTACAAATAACAATTCTAATCAAAAAGTTCTCAGTCCATGGGAGCATTTGGGTCAAGCTGTCCGAGATTTTATTAATATTCGTATTCATCAAGCGTCTTTGAATGATCAAATTACGATAATTCTCTTCGCTAATCGAGCAGAAAGAATTTTCAATCGAGAAAAACTAACCAACATTGATGTCGATAGAATCAACACACCAATGAACATTTATGGATGTGGAACAGATTTTTCTGCTGCATTTGAAAAACTCATTGAAGTCCTTGAAGAAATCGATAATCACCCCGATCGAGATGTTTTACGGCAAACAATTGTTTTCATGACTGATGGATACCCTCAGGAATATCCAACTGAAAAATTACAACAACTATGTACTTATAGAACTGGTTGGTATAAATCTCAATTCTTTATACTCGATTTTTAGAAGAATAGAATACTGATTCCATGTTTCTTTTTATTTGAAATAGATAACGCTCGGGGTCCAGATAGCAAATCGTTGATACACAAATTTTGGATAGTGGCCCTTGGAAACTATAATGAAGAAGTTATGCAAAAAATCAATCAAACAATGCAAGGAGATATGGTTGATATTCGACGTCCAGAAGAATTAGAAGAAGCATACGCACAAATTGCGGAAATTATGTAAAACAGATGCATGCAGAAAAATATTCTATCTTAATATTTTTTGATGAACAACCCATTACGCTCTTAAGCTGGATAACACGCGAACTGTGATCGTCAATCAAAGTAATAAACGCTATTCATTGAAACTATCGTTTTTTTCTATCGTTCAAAAAAGACATAATATATGTACGCATCAATATATCATAGCGATTTCTACGGTTTATACCGACGTATACAAGATCTATTCCCGTGAAATTTGTATTGATCAATAATACGTATTTGACTAATATCGATTACAAAAAAGAAGGAGTAGAATTCATCAATCTCAAATAGTATGTCATCGGAGATTCTTCATTCAATGTAAGAAGAAAATAAAGTATTCGTGATCAACAGTATCTAATTTCTATTGACTGCCTACGATAATCGATTCTTCTTCTTTTCGTTCTGATGGCAAGTACAATGGCAATAGCCGCCAGTGTCACTACGACGATAGAAACCACCGTCGTTCCAACCACCACTATACGGAACATAAAAGCAATCTTCACAACCAGTAGCATAGAGACAATTGTTTTTCTTAGTTGATGAAACTACTGGATTGTTTATTCTAGACGAGTAATTTCGTTCTAAATTGATGCATAATGTCGAATAGGTAGTTGTAGAGACGAATCCTACCTGTTAATATCGGAATCTGAGATTTCTTATTGAAATTATTTGAAGCGCCGTATTCGATAGAGACGAGCTTATTCCAATCGACCTGTGGAGTTTTATTGACGTAGAGTTGAATAGGTCGTCGGATAAAGTCGTCGAGATCTAATTGAACACTATTGATCATGTTATTTAATCGTGTAAGGTCGTCTTCAACGAAATCATTTATATCTTTTCGTAGAAGAATTTCTTTGCCAATTGATTCGATCCTTTCTATGATTTCTGATTTTTTCCGATTTATCAACTGTAAGATTTGTTGACGAGTGTTATCGGCTGTTTGCATCACTTTTTCCATCATACTCTTTTCCCAATTATCAATTTGACCAAGCAGAGAATTTTCAATACGTTGAATCTGATTTGTTTCCTTTGTTTTCGTCACAAGTCGATTACAATTACCCATCAGCTGGTTCAACTGCTTGGTCATATAGTATCGATGATCATGGAAATGTTGTGGACAAAATAATGATTGACATCCTGTACAAACGCATGTTCCCGAAATCGTTCCACACGAAGAACATCGTTTCATAGTCGTCATTCTCTACAGACTGGGTAAATGATGTTATGCAGTGAATTCAATTTGAAAAACAAAAGTGATCAAGTTTCCTGCCTCGCACCTTTTATTGACTTAAGCACATTCTCAACTCTCGTTCCCACCCTCACACTCTGTATTGTACTTGATAGATACGGTTATTTCCATCTTCAGTAAAGAGAAGACTGCCGTCATGGAGAACAAGTAGTCCAACGGGGCGTCCAAATGTATCCGGTCCTGATGGATTCGTTAGAAATCCACGTACAAAATCTTCATAGTAGCCTAATGGTCGATGAGTTTCATTGTGAAACGGAATAAAAACAAGTTTATACCCAGTTCCAC